TTAAGTTATATCCAGCATTTATATACAGGGTGTTTACTAACTACGCACCAAATAACTATATCATGCGGCATAGATAGCTATATCAGATGACCTGATGAACATACTTTTATGATGAAGCTAATGAAAATCGTTTTCAAATATGGAAATAACTATTATATAGCGGAGCTACAGTACTTTTTAATACGTATGGTATTCCTTTACCAATATTGTTCCGAATCATATGCGTTGTTGTATGGATCATAAGTAAAATAGAAAACAAAAAATAATAACAGCAATAACAAAAACAGCGGCAATGACGTAGACAAGGTGTGCATAATAAAATACCATGCATTTGAGCTATTCTACAATTACATTTATGAGTACCAGATAGGCCACTATATTCTAGATTGCCTTTCGAAATTTCATGAAAAAGTTTAAGGATTCAAAATTTTATTTTTTTATAGGAGAATGGCTTTAATTGCCTATCGGTGTTCGGGCAGAAGGGCACACTTCGATTTTTTGGAATCGGCCTATTTGTTTAACCAAGAGCACACCTTTCACTTCTAATTAATTAAAATTATTATTTTCTTATGTTTATGTATTTAATCCCACATGTAGTTTTATGGCTTAAACTTGACAGAAGTACGGGTTTTGTCCCGCAGCTGTTCTCCGTTGATTTAACTAACTTGATTCGCTCATATTACAGCCAATCTAACGTAGAGTTATCATCAACAGTTCTCTTATTTGAATGAACCTGTCCTTCTCAAGTTATTTCGGGCCTTTTTCAATACAAACAGTTTTACTTTGTATTACACATAACATTAACTGACTGCAGACATATTTCAGTTTGCCTGAGACCCTGCATCAGCAGTTCCGCTATCTCATTTCAGTAATTCGGTTGATTTATTCATTTTATCAGCAACAGCTATTACCTTGCAGTTGTACTGCTCCATGTATTTCGATCTCCTATTAAAATGCTCTAACAGTTTTACGATCACAATGCATTATCTTCTCATGCTCTTTTAACAACGAGTTCATTCTTTGCCCAACTTACCCTAATGCTTGACGACATATTGACACGTTTACAGGGGTCACTTAAGATCGTATTGAGTTAACTCTGTTATACCGTGATCGTCTAGTTACGGTAATTATATCTGGTCGGTGACTTTGCCGTAACTGGTGTCTCTATAACCTCATACTATGCTGCCATCAATCCGTTATTGCTTTGCATGTATTTTGCTATGTTTAGAAACAATTGAATTTAGCTTCAAATTTGTCACTATCAATCCATACAAATTTTTCTCCACTTATCATCATGTAAAGTTCACTTTCTCAAATTAACTAAACCCATTAAAGCTGAATGCGCTAACAAAATCAAGATGAGAGACATGCCCGAGTATCACACGTCTAAGATTACGTCTAAGAAAAACACCGCATTCACGACTTTCTCTAATTTTTCCATAGAATTATATATGCTGTCATACCAAAAGGTACTGGGTATTGTGTCGAAAAAAATGTTCAATTCTGTTTTGGTTTGTTGATTTATGTCAAACACGAGGCCATAAGGGTGATTATCGAAGGAACGGAAAAGGTGAATTTTTTTCAGTGCAATATCCACAGAATATAGAGCATGCAATGACCCCCCCCCCCCCCCCGTTCGAACTTGAAGACGCCAGCTTTAATGATATTTGCCATGTGTGCTTTTGCGTACTCACTGAAGTAGAATGACCTGACCTCGTTTGACGAGTTTTTGCTCTAGAATAGTCTGGTTGATGCAATAGTGCCAATCAACTGTATGGTTCGTAGCAAGCAGTTCCCAGTAAATCCCTTGCAGACCTACCAAACGCAAAATATTCATTTTGGGTGAAAATCTGGTTTGGCGTGTCTCTGGTTCCGGTCAAAAACTGGTCATTATGACTGCATGGCGCTCGATACCGCGCGATACGTTGAGAAACACGTAAAGCTGTGTTCTCTTTTTGAATTTAGAGTGTTTCTGTCTAATCCAAAAGAGACTCGAGAAGATTACGACTATTTTGTGGCCCATCTTTTCAGCCAAATCCCAAGATGCCTATCGGCCATATTCTGCCAAAGAGTACCTTCAAGATAGTCGTCGAACTCAGACAAGCTTTGCCCAGAGCTAGGTGCAAAAATGGTGTATTAAAAATAAACACCAAGTTGGGTGAAGTGGGATAGAGAAGCTTTTGAAAAAGACGCGGGAACTGATTACCCAACCTAATACATATAACAAAGGGATGGACAGATAGATTAAGGGGGCCATGGACACGGGGAAAAAAACAGACGACAATAGCAAGAAAGACCGCTGACGTGCAGAACATGACCGCTGTTAAATGGAGTTATGGCAAGACAATAAATAACAAGCTGTTCTGTCAGTACCTATACGAGGGTTGCGAAGGGATAAAAACGAGGAAATAAGGATTGAACAATATCGGCTTACAGCAAATAAGGGAGAAAATTCGGTACCAGAAGGTAAGGGCCGGCGCTAGAACGCAACGGAATGACACGATTAACCACAATTCACTCAAGAAAAGTTAATTGCTCCCATTTTACTTTGCCCCAGCTTTCCCCAGTTCTATGTCTTCGTGGCATCGAGTCAATTTATTGTGAACGACGCCTTGCGACTCGAGCGCGAGGAGACCCGCGCAGTGCTACTTTGTGCAGTCGTTTGAATCGATATGTAGATAATTGGACAAGTTTCTAACAACGTTGTTTCCTGGCTAGAAATTATAGCTTTTTGTGTCTCTGTTTGTGCAACAAGTTCTGTAGTCAGATGAAATTTTTGATGGAAAGAATCAACTAATTTTTACGGCGTTCGAGCGCAGTTGTTGGCAACCACCATAACTCAAAGTTTAATGGCTGTACTCTACTATTCGGTATATGAGAGCAGATATTTCAGAGAATGAGAGAACGTAATGTTTGGCCGCTGTGATGAGACAGCATCGTTTGAATAATGCAACATATTAACATTTTATTCATAGATAAGTGTTGGAACTAGAAACGGTGCTTCGATGCGTTGAGCTATAAAGCTCGAAAGGACGCATACGCAACATTGTCTATTTTAGTATTTTCCTACTGTAGAAAGTGCTGTTGGGTAAAAAAATTGTTTGCGAAGTTGCAGTTACCGTTACCTACTTTAAGAACTAGTAGTTCAACCACGAACCACGTTCTGTAAACTGCAGGCACTTCTTAAGTTAGGTGCGGCGCAGCCTAGCCGAGAGCTTTCTGCACAACTAGGAGTGACCCAAGTAACAGTCAATGACCCAGATGTTAATCGTTTGTACGCACTACGGAAGGTCGAAATGAGAGAAAAGTCGGCCCCCATACACCAAGTGAAAATGACAAAAAAAAAACTCTATGACAATATGGCTTTCTTTACTCGTGCGACAGAACTGAGAGTCGCTTTTATATAAAATCGCTGCGGCATCTTTGGTAATCATTTAGTATTCATTCAATCATGAATGGATATTTTGCATTTGTTTCTGCATCAGCAAGAAATCATGAATCTATTGCTATTACTATGATAAATTTGCTAGGTTTCTATATAAACAAACATTCTGCCATAATAAGACACAAATTAGGAGTCATTTAGTTAAAGCCTTAATTCAGGTGTTTCGAGTTTTATATCCGGCACTGCAAAGCCATTAGCCATAGCTCTAGACGGCTGACTCCCAATACGAAGCAAGGCGTGTCTACGTCCAGTTTCTAAGCTGAACTAGCGCGCCTTAGCTAGTAAAGCTGTTGAGCCACAATTGAGAAACGTTTCCCTAGAACGCCTAGAAATAACCCAGCGTAGTCCAGCTAGATGATAAAGTTGTTAGTTTACGTTCATATACGTGTAGTTTAATTACGAGTGCGAACAAGAATATATGGTAGAAGCAACCATATTTCTTTTAGATCCTGTCTACATAGTCATCCATGGATATAGAATACCTTTACGTAAGCGTAAGCAGCTTTTGACATGACATGCCGCTTAAGTTCAGCTTTTCCGTCGATTGAAACTGCCGCTATATAAATTCAACACTTATTCACAACTAATTGATACATTATAACTCTATCTGTCAGCGGGACGCAGAACTTGAAGCGTGTTTGTTAAGTCGAGTAAAAGTTTCTCGAACAAGTGGAAACACGTAATCGTCTTTTGTTTCTAATATCAAATATGTGCCCTCCGATAGATATAGCTGTATGAGCAAAGCAGAAGACAAAATATGATCGCGATAGGAGACGACCTGTTAAAAGTCGGGGACAGTAAAATACTTTTAAAAGTAGGTCAATATCCATATCTAGGTAAGGACTCGAAGAGGTAATTATATCGCGGTCATTTACTACGTGCATTCTCCGACCATAGATTAACTCTCAACGCAAACATATTATTATAAAAATATAATATGTTTGCGTTCTAATAATAAATAACATGCATCCACAAATCGCACAGTGAATCCATCTGTCTTTTTTAATAGTTGAACAAGAGGGCCCACCCTGCAGTTCAGCTACATACAACACCTCAGTTTGACAAGAAAAAATTGATATGGCTAAAAAAGGGTGGCTGTAATGACAACAGTAATAAACAAATATTTGTCGGTAAAAGGTAGCGAAGCAAAACAGTAATAACAACGAACGTTTAAAGAAGAGAACGGATGGAGTAAATAATACGTGTCAGGTAGACGGCGAGGGCTATGCAGGCACGATAAACAATACTCAACTGAAAAGTAGACGAGAAACTAGTTGGCCAATAGCTCAGTCTAGGAAGGCAGATAAGAAAATGATTTTAGCAGCACACGTAGGTAGCGACTATATGCATGCGAAACACAGCCCAGAATAACAAATAGAATCCTAGGCACGTGTTTCAAAAGAAAGCCTTATTTATATTCAAGGCTGGGAACATCTGACGTGCGACAACAGAAATCTTATCCTTTAATGGTTACAAATAATCAGAGCATAACGTTAGCATCATCATAACCTAGGCTCATCATAACTCCTCACACATAACGAAAACGTTACTTAAGTTGCAGAGTTCCTCGAAAATAACCGGATACCCAATTATTGGCAGGCTCAGCGCAGCTGCGACGTGAATACTGGAGAATAATCCCCCCGGCCCTAGGGACACAATGGATAAACTCGACAAGTAACTGCCGCTTCAAAACCTTAACATTCATTTGAATTTACTGACAACGTATCGAGATGTGTATATAAACATCGAACTTGGTTTGCTGTCGAAGGAAAACTATCGCTGGACCCTAAAAATTAGGGAACGACCCGCAATATTGAAAAAAAGCAGTCAGAACTGCTGGCCGGTTGGAAAGCAGTCAGAAAGATTGGAAGATTCCGCACGTTCCCCACGCTTGTGGAACAAGTGCTGCTCTAAGAGCATAAACGAGTGTCTAATTAACAGAAACACACGACACTATAGCCTAGCAATATAGTAGTGAACTAGCTCAAATACCTGATTACGAATGACAGTCACACCTTTAGACTAAATTCTTAGAGAACCAAGGACCAAGGTCAAGGACTCCAAAGTCGACGGCAGCAGCTACTAACATAAAAGTTAAGGTACTCAAAATAATACTTTCGTAAACGAGGAGGTAATGGCCCTTCGTGCATTTTGCGAGATGCAACTAATGAAGGCATATTTTCCACCGAATTAGATCCATTCATAGCTCATAATCAGGCTTGTTTACCTGCGGTATTGTGTAAAACCGCTCCTGTCGATTGATTAGCTAACGCGGCAAGCTAATGGCAGTTCCTGCAGACAGTTTAACGATAACAGCACAAGAATAAAACGAGAATGAGCAGGATACAAAGTTCGACGAAAACAAAAAGCCCTACCTAGAAAAGCAGTGAATGAACGAATACATTATACTATCGTTCTGGTCGATGACGTGTTTCCCATATGTAGACATATGCCATGTTCGTCAAAATCCTAGCGAATCCCAAATTGGCCTCGTAAAGCAATGCCCAACAGCTTGAATACTAGAAACATACATCATATTATGTAATGCTTATCTCTCCCAGTGTGCCGATAAAATTTGCCGATTAGAAACTTAAATAGTAACACCGCAACTTGACTTTAGTCAGCACATAGCTTAAGTTAGCGATAGTTACTTTACATTATCCTTTCCCGCTGTTAAGATAGCGTTGGCTTAACGTCTTTAAAAGACTAGACTTATTTACTGATATGAGGCCTTGAATCAATCTTGCCAAGCGACTAACTGCAATAGAACGTGCCTAAAGTGAGCCTATACCTATTGGTAAACGCTTACCAATTATACGATTAGAGAACAAAGAGGTTTTCAACTCATAACGATCATGCGATAACGAGTCACGCGTTAGGTTGTTACGCGATATAGTTAGAATCACTTTTACGACATGGTAAATTGGTATCGGGAAAAAAACGAGCTACGACTCCCTCTTTAACTTATTTTATAACATTTCTTGTTTACAGAATTGATGAGACAATAGCCCAATGTTACTTAGTGGAGTGCATAAACGACAGCATAATGTCGACTCAATACACGTGAGTACAATCCAACGTTAAACAGTGTTATAAAAGACGATGGATAAGATAAAAAGCTCATCTTACATTTGTAAGGTGTTTGGTGCGAAATGATCAAAGCACAATTAACGAATGATCCCGTGAACAGCGTGAGTTACATTTTACGGCTTGGTAATACGACGTTATGATCACTCTTCAGCGGTTTTTGGTTTGCTCAAGGGTGGATCCGCATCAGAGGCGCACGCTAATTTCCTAAATTATGAAAAATAAGTTCGGTCAGAAGCTCTACGGATTCTACTATATTCTAAGGCGAAAACTAAATAGGTTTAGAACATTTCGATTTCTTTCATCGAACCTAGAACAGTGCGAAACGAATAGAGCTATGAGGAATATAGAACAATCCTCCACAGAATCAATATCCGCATGGATTCGTACATACGGTCCGAGGTTAAGGCCATGAACATCGTAGTTTTAAATGCCTAGCGCCATCGCCTTCAACATGAATGACAACAAGCACTAGACGATCAATACGTGCGTATAGATAAATGTCTTTCTGTTTTTTTTCTCTATATGCATTGGCTTTTGAAAGACAAAGGTCTAAATCGCAAAAGATGCGGCCTGTTTAATGCGCATTTGTCAGTCAAGATAGATATATGTGGAATACTGATAAAATAAACCATACGTACTTAATACTTACAAGCAAAATGAGAAAAGCAAGTTTTTAAGGTTGGCCATGTTCCACTTGGCGTCGTATTAATATTAATAATAATACATTACCGTGCCTCTTGCTCCTTGGTGTTGAACTAAGGGATCTGTTGTAGTGAAAACGTATAACGAAACGTCTTCAGGTTTTCAAAACCATCTACAGACGACGTAGTACGCCATCAACTCCTTGCCGAAACTGTCCTTGTTTGTCACTTGTCAAAAATGTCTCAATAACATAACCATTCACCGAACATTTGAATTTCTAATTGTTCATCTATACTTAAAAATTTTGTGTCAACTTTGACAACAAGTTGCAACCAAGCTAAGTGGAGTAGGGTATACATATACGCATTACAGAAACGCACGATGTACGTTTGTACGATGAGCATTTCTGATTAGCTGAGACACCATCCTGGAACGTGAAAGTCAACAAAGTAAGCACTCGTGCGACAGAAGCGGTGGGTCGAGAGAAATAGACTAGACGGGGCATTACTATGAAGGAGCGATAGCGAGAATAGGCTACCATTTGAAATGGCAACGTTGGGTCACTTGTGACGTACTTCGTGCCGGACATCAGAAAAATGCGGGGTCGCCCAAGTGGGACTACTAATCACTTTCCTATCCGAGTCGCAACAGGTCACGGCAGCTTCAAAGTAATTTCTTCAGAATCGGCAGAGCCCCGTAGAAGATTTGTATTCATTGTAATCTAAAATCGTGTGCTGTATATCTTAGAACCAGGTGCTTACTAGCCTTGTAGGATCTTATCAAGATTCTTACCCGGTCTGAAAGTATTTCTGCCATCTATCTTTAGTAAGATTTAATAAACTGATCATACGCTGTAAGTCTTGTGAATCCACAAGCAAGCACGCGTAATGGTTTTATGCGGGAGGGATGGGGGGAGGGGGGGATAAGCCTTGAACCTGTTCTATGAAAATCAGTTTTGCCAAATTTAATGCCACCAGATTAGGAGCGTCAAGTCTGAACGCTGTTTTGAGGAAAAAGTATTCAAGGATTGGTTAATAATGTCACTGTTCTAAGAGCCTCTTGTAATCTTTCCTCAATATGCATCAGAAATCTTAACTGACGATACTACAATTGATTCCGCACCGCTGGCGCTTTACTATCCTCATAAGTGTGCCTATCCAAAGGTTCCACTCAATCCTACAAAAGGACAAAAGGCCTAAGCTATAAAAACAACAGGACTCACTTGTATAATCACCTACATCGGAGTTGAATCCAGCCGTTCAGCTTTGTTTGTACCGCACCACTTTGTCACATGGGCATCAAAACCGCTGCCTTGCACAGAACATCGGTACAGAAACAGACCTGTTTACTGAGTCGTGAACCTTTCATTTCATATTCCTCGGTTAAGGATAAAGACCGTAGGGCTCCTTGAAATTATACCAGAGACACCAAGGGCCCCTTTCACCCCACTCCACGAGGTGGAACCTGGTGGCATTTATGTACTGAAGCAACACTGATAGCTTATGAACGACGTAAATGCCCGATACGCTGGGCAAGGCGTGCAATAAAGGTGAACTTCAGCCACTCTCCGCCATCTTTGCTAAATATATCTAGCAGCCCTTAACAAAGAAATTTGGAAAACTAAGAACTTTAGCCGGAAGTCTTGCCTCCTCATGCTCGAGTAAAACCCGTAGGGTAGACCCTACAAACTGACTAACAAGATCAAAATTGACCGCGTGTACAATTACATTGACTCCACGATAGCATACTAATGGTGCCCTTCTGAGAGACGTAAGAGGCGGCAGACGCTTGTTCGCACTCAAGTTGCCAAAATTAAATATTTTCCGTTGGTGGGGCATCATAAAACATCGCAGATTTTGTAAACTGTCTGAAACTGACAACAAAAGAACGAAGAACGCGATCCGAACTGGCTGCCGTCGAAGGAAGTCGTATGAGAAGGTTCACTGCCACCGATTCTATGGAAGAGTCGTCATTCGCAAACGAACACCCGCTTGTCATCACATTTGTCATTTAAGCAGCACCTATCATCGACCTCAGAAGTTCTAATATTTGGGAAAACTATATTACTATATATTGTTGCATGATGGGTATAATCGTCAGATTTATTCGTCGCTGTTGCCGTCAAGGGGGTGCAGCTATTGGTGCCATGGATAATCTGCGCCAGGCCGCGAAAAGGTACTTCGATGAGTGAAAGCAACTCGCCGTTTGCGTTTTCATAGGCGACAATGAGTTGCTAAAAAAAGAGACAAAAGTAACAAGAAATTCAAAGCAATCGGTGCTGAAGACAGACTCGTCAGTTTACCCTCTGTTGAGTGAAACCTTGTCCGTGGAAAGGAACGTGCAGCGGGTTGAGACAGGGTGATTCTTACCTGCGCAGAAATATATCATAATGGTCATAGAACTCGGCCTGCAGCTCAACTGGTAATTCCACCAGAAACAGTGTAGTAAACATATTTTGCAGTTAACTAAAATATATTGTTTCTATATTAATCGAATCATGAAATAGTTAGTTTTTATGCACATATTAGCGTAAAATAAAGGCCGCTCATTTCACAAATACACTGCCCAATGTACGAAACTAATACAACGGCCCAATATTTTTGAAACGCATTGGCATAATTCGTATAGCCCGCCAATGGACGTTGAGATGTTGGGGGTTGAATGTAATTTCGCAAACAGGGCACTAAATGTTTCATGATACAATCTGATGGAAGAACAAACAATCATCGCATGACCATTATGCATGGTGTATCTCAACAGGAGAGCGTGTATTCTCAGTTATAGATGAACTAGGTACGAAACTATCCACTAGTCGTTCACACTTCTATGTCGCAACGTAGTAGTAATTGAACAAACCGCTAGTCAACACTTTTTCAGAGATTCCTAAATATGATAGTTAGTTGAGACGTTAAGATTCATTAGGGCGCAACTCCGGAACTTCACAACAAGTCAGGGACTTCCCTCTGAAAATGTAAATTTCAAAATAAACAGAAATGTTTTTGCAGCAGGCTTAAAGCATCGTTCTGTCAAGTGTAAAGCAAATATCTCTCTAGCTATTATCTTGTATGTACGTAATCCCTCTCAACGGCCTGCCCTAGAAGCCTATCAAACCTTCTCAAAGTTATCTCAAAATACCTAAAGGACAGCGGAGTGACATGCCAGGGAGTCACTTATTCAATGACAAGAAAAGACCCACAAAATTGAACTTGGGCTTTCAACTCAAAAAATTTCTCATATGACTACGTACTAACTCTCTACCTGAAAGCATAGGCCTTTTTCCAAATAATGTGTAGATGATCTTGCGATTACTGTGCAGGCAAAAAGTTTTTGCAAGCCGAGCAGTCTGCCAACCGATTTTGTCTTGTCTCCATTCAGTTAGATAGCAGAAGCTTGGAACTTTCGCCTTTAACTAGTCCTTTCTCCAAAAAATTGCAAAACACTATTCCTCTTAGGTAGACGTCATTTCCGATCCTAACACTAAGTGGATGCAAGATCAAAATTGTACCAAAAGCAAGATACTTCAGATTGCTTTTGGACAAAATGCATAGAAGAGGCGGCCACAGCATGTAACTAATGCACGTGTTCTACCTAATACATATGGTCCAGGCAAACAAAGTGATCGCAAACTAATTATCACGATGTCAGAGCCAATAGTTCCTTTTAGGAAGTTAGAGAAGTTCCGCGTGAGCAGAGAGAAGAAAAACTGCAGGAACTTGCTTACAAAGAAGAGCCAACGCAGCATATAAAAACTATTGGTACAGGCTTACAGGACGGCGAGCATTTTTGTTGTATTACTATGCCGACTGAGAGGAATCTCACCGTGGAACCTTAAAGCATACGATAGCAACTAGAGGTGAAAGCTGCGGAGATATCTCGTCTGGCAGGCCAATTACTAGGCCACTAGTGACTGGCAGACGGTGTAATCGTTGATCCCTATACACGGATTTGGTCACAAACATTTTTTTATCAGTAGATAGATAACGAGACCATTTGCTGTCATTGTAGCCAGATCTCATTACAACGTATAGCCACTTCTGTGTGTATCTATCAAAAAACTGCTTTAGACCCATGCCTACACTGTGACCTGTATAGGAGTACACAGTGACGTTTGTCATACCCTGCTATCTTGCCTAGCATCTGAAGAGCGTGTAGGTCATCCTTCATGGCGAAAGATGACCCTAGAGCCTAGACCTTGAAAAGGTTCGCTCAAGAAAGCTTTATGGACACTATCGAGTTGATATTGGATACCACTGGCGGCTAGAAATTTGCTCAGCGATTACAAGAGAGGTACTTACTATCAAACCACCCTCAATGTCACAAGACCCACACGATCTGGCTCTTTCCCACCTGGTTTTCAGAAGGTCACAGCGGGCAAAACTACACAGTATGTCATAAGTTTACTTCTAGGTTCAGAGAATGACGGCGGAAGGGTAACGGCTCCTGCTCGAAATAAAACTCGCTCGAAGGTGGGAAAGCTGACATAGACGTTTTCGATTTAGATCATGGAACCTGGCATAAGTTCCTATGTGGGAAATTTATGCTTAGTAGGTGCTTATCTTCCACTTAGCTTGTAGTATTATCAACTGAAGATCCGAGCTTTCTTAAGATTATGCTTAAGGACAGCCAATGTGTTTGTCAGTAACTATGTTTTCGGCCGATCAAGTCGCGCAGAAGCCCGACATTGCATTAGGAACACATGTATGATACATTTCCAGTGGTGTGCAAATAGCATTAAATCTTTCATTAAAAAACGGTTTTTTTAATACAGTAGTTTTTAAGTTACAAATAGAGGTACGGTACCATTCTCGGTGCAAATGTCAGTCTAATGTATCACTGCAACGTTTAAAGTAACAAGGATTTGACGGCGGTTTCTTATCTAATCTAGTAAAATTATTGAGACCGATTAAATCAAACGTGCGTATATTGAGAAAACCGTCGACAACTTTCGTACATATAATTCCCCTTGCTAGTTCACATGATCGTGGCCTTGGCATTTTAACAAGCAAGATGCCACTACCCGGTCACGTGAAGCTGTGAAATGGTGACAAAGTATCGTGTTTACGCAGAACATGCTTGGAGGGCTTGTTGAATAACATGTAAACACGTATGTCGTACATATTAATATGACTATGAGGTAACTCTATATAATAAATAAAGATTTGAGGACATGAATTTCGGCTTATCTGGCAATAAATGAATGCTGAACGGATACACTGGCTTGTTTAATGTGTACAACCCTTTTTTGTGCAAATAATTACTTCAATAAAAGGCTGGTATTTTCCATTTGGTCTCGTTAAGGGGGCTGACTAGATCGCCTTGAAGTCCTAACAATGATGTAAGCGTACGTTTCAACAGAATGAGTTAGTGGGAACAAATGATTTTCATCGATATGCTCTACAAATTCATACAACGACGATTCAAATATAAGGACAAACAAACTATCTGAAAGTGACGAGGCTTGCGCATGCGCGGCTTTAATTTAAATACATTACTGCGTTACTGCAACGTTGAGTATTATGAAGAAAGATCAGTTCCTCTTGAAGGCGTTTGAAATATCGTTAGGTGTTTTAACATTGTTGACGCGTAAGTTAAACTTCAAATGTGTTATATATCAATGCAAATAGGCAGATCAAAAATATCAAATTTATACTTCTATAGAAGTATCGCCTCTTGCTAATTAGAAATACTGAATTTATATTTCAGATTACTCTCCGATTTCTCGGGTGACTCATCTCCGATTCGACGTCCCTTCATATCCTTCATTGCTGTTGTTTGTTTCGTAGCGTTCTTTGTTTTATATATGGACTTTATTCCAATGGTAATCACGGACCCCAATATCATGGAACCCAACGCAATTTCTGGTCAACTACGGACTCGTAACTTTACGAGTACTTTCACAACTACAGTTTCAAGTGTCAAACGTTTACAAGAAGCTGATACAACGACCAGCCAGATATCTGTTCGACTAGCTCTATCCTCGGCGGAGGCTGGTACCGATATTGCCGGGGGTAACTCAATCCTACCGCATACTGAGTTCTCCATTTCTAATAATACAACGGGCGAAATTACTGCTGTAGAGATAACTGCTCAAACGGCCATCACTATTGATGACGCTCCTGTGCCGACTAATATCTATAACAGCTCGGACGCTGACGCTGTTTATAATAAATATGCGATATATACTGCAAGATGTCGCATCCCAGATTACGATTACAATGAGCAGACGATAATGAAAAAATATTTTTCAAATACACCTAAGATGTGTCCTGCTGATGCAAAACCTTTCGTATTTTATCCGAAAATTGATCTAAAAGGCTTTTCCTGTATCGCCTTTGACCAGAACACATTCGACAAATACTATAAAGCTAACTTTAGCAAGTGGAACTGTACCTATAAAGAAACTTTTCGGAACCCAAAGTACCAGGTAAACCTTCACTTTGTATATGTAATAAATTCGGTTCAAACGATAAGTTTATTCAGGAGTGTGATTATACCAGTATGCAAGACAAGAATTACGACTGCCCCTTGAAATGCAAGAGATTTCTTGTTAAAGCACTGCCACATAGAGGAGGCACAGATGTATAAAAGAGTATTACCTTGACTTCGCGTACTATAATAAGTATATGTCACATATGTAAGGTCGGCAACGTCAAATCTGCCCAGATAGTAAGCGTAAAACGTACAAGTTCTATGGTCCAATAGTGCGCGAACGTAAAAATGTGCGAATTTTAACTCAAGTTTTTAAGGAGATTTTTATTTTTGGGGAGAATTATAGAAAAACTGATCTTTGCACTATCGTCGATTGATTCAAATAGTGTCCATCTTGGCAGTGTTAAGTTTAACGATTTACTCTTGTCCACTATACGATTACGTCTTCAGAAATTGTTGTGTGGACTCACCGGTTTGCTCGTACATTCGCTGGGCATACAAAGGGCAAAATTACACAGTTTTAATTATGTATTGCCGTTTTCTATGAAATTATTATGTAGCACATAATTAAGAGCCGAGTAATTTTCACGATTCACCGGCGCTGAATGAATTGTTCATTCAGAGGTTTTAACATGATTGATTAACAAAACAGTAATCTATTTCAAATTAGCATCACCGGTTGTATAGCATGTCATGCATGCAATGAAAAATTTTACATCTGTTTACAATACTCTATCAAATAGTGCTATGTTTTCAGATTAGGTCAATTCTCATGTGGTAAGGACTGTTTATTTTCTGTTGTTATCATTGTTATTCTTATTAAGTGAACAGATTTTTCTATTAATATCTCTCAATCAAGCTCAAAAAAGCAGCTTCATGCGTATACTGTGTTAAGAAGTGATTGTAAATATTACGAGCATGAACAGTAAATACTTTTGTGGGATGAAATCTCCGAATTTTAGTAGAGAACATCTCGAGCTATCAATCGTACCTCACTACACTTTAAACTTCTTATCTCTTACAACTTTTCAGCTTTTACCTTTTTTTTTTTTACCTATCGTGTACGACTGTCAGCATTGTTGCATGAACAGGTCTCAGCCTGGACATTTTAGGAAAAGTATGAATATAAAATGTTCCAGATCTTGATAAGATTCTAGATTAAAACACCGTCTGATCTCCGTTTGAGGTTAGAAACGATCTAAGAGAGCACGCTTAATGAAAAATATTTCACTTGGGGCTGCCAGAAATCACCACAGGAGCTCACTGCGGCCGTAGTCGGGTTCTAGTCGAGGAATAGTTCTAAGGGCACTTCGACGAAAGGTACCGTCGTATTGAAGGCAAACACAGGTTCATATGTGAGCAATACATATCAAGTGAACAAATTACTCCAGGTAGATAAACTGCTAAATTTATACGAACGGTTTCTACCTAACGTAACGAGCACAAGCAATGCCCTTATCGTGGTATTCCGTCCATGGCAACAATGGCGACTGCAGAACGTTTAATACCGCAATTGTCTACGTTTAAGAGTAGCTCCCAAACTAACGTCAATTTGCAGATACTCAATGTGCAATGACGTTAGCTCAGGTTTTCGAGTATCGTTAGACGGGTTAGCCAAAACGATAGTAACATCTTCAGTGACCGCATACAGACGAAAACTTGAAAGCTAATAATTACTTAGCTTGACCACTCAATTTTCTCTTCTGGCTCCATCTTGACAAACACTTTTTCATAGGATTCCCATAAGCTTTACCAATTTACCGCCAACTTATTCTTCGCAATGAGTCTCTGTCTGCTATCGCTACGAAATATCAAAATTTCGAGATAGAACATTCACCCTGTAGTCGTTAAACAAAACAAGAGACCGTCGTACCCTGTAATATGCGATGGCGTACCTGGAACTCAATGTAACAGTAGCAAAAAACGTAGTCAAAGTCAAAATTGTTGCTTCTTGCAATCTGTATTAGCATATGTACTTTTGTTTTCTTTTCTATAGTCCGCCGGAAGAATAAGCCTAGCTATAAGCTAAGTTGTGCTGAAGCTAATGCAATCTGCACACGCATGTCTCAGTGTTTTCCTTTTGTGTTGTCAACATTGAGAAAAATATTTTCGAAAACTAGGCTTACCGATTTCGATCAACCAGGTTCGATTTTCAAAGCCGATTCAGGACAGCACCAATCAGGTAGGATCAGAAAAATCTCATACATCAGGCTTTGGTGAACTTTTCGAGAAATTAAGAATTAAGCCAGTTTTTTAGGATTTGCCTAGGGCCCAAGAAAGACACCTGACGACCCTGAGAGGATTTATTGAAGATTATTGAAGCAAACTGTGTCGTGGATACACTGAATGTATTACTCGATCCGAGGGGACTCAAGGCAAGCATAGCAACCAATCGGATCCTTTTTTTTTATATGAGACATCGCGACATCGAGTTCTGATTTTCGTCTAATAGACAGTATTGAAGTTTATTCCCTTTACAAAGTAGCCACAATATAGGTTTTAGTTTACACGACAGTCTCCCTAATAAATCGTAGTGTCAAATATATTATTTTAAAATGCGACGCTTGATCAAGCTATTTTGGTAGGACCCTACAGGTATGACACTGATTGTTCTCATGACCAACCTACACGCACAATGAGACTGGAGAAAACGTAGCTGCTAACTTTTCGAAATGATCAAAGATGCAAAGTAACTTACGCGTAAAGTTTTCGTATCTCTTGGATCTCGATAGGTTAGACATATTAGCGAGACGTTAAATCGCAAAATGTGATATCTAACATCATTTTTCATCTCTAGATGTAGTCAATAATAATAATAATAACAATATGATGTGAACTACATAGTAAATAATACACCTATAAACTTTATTAAAATTGAACTACCGGAAGTCAGTAAAAAGTTGCGTCAGAAGTGCGATATTTAGAAGGAAGACTTTAAGGAAGATATACCGAAATGTTTATCAAATCAGAATAGATGCTACTTTATCAGTCAATTACACTCCAACACGATAACTGGGATAGTCGTGTTTAAATTTAAAGGAAAAGAACGCATAAATGCAGTTACAGCTCGATATGATAGGTTTGCTTTTGCTATGAGTTCTTCGCAGCTCAAAAGACCGGTTTAAAAAAATGCTTACCTATGCATCTGCATTATTGCAGAAGAACCCGCTCTAGAATATTCTTCGAAGCGTTGCCCGCTATCATACAGAGATAACTAGCAAATGAGACCCAGAGTGTCAAAATGGCAGTTTTTCGCACAAGCATGACGATCTGGTTGTCCTGAAAGAAGTCTGCCCGATCCAGCAACCACGACGCTTATTTCAGTCCTTAATTGTAAATATGTAAAGCCTGAAGGAAGTGTGTTAAGGCGAAGAATGATTCTCGTGTAGTAGCGGTTTAGATTTGTTTCTCCTATCGTAAGCCTTAGGGCACCGTTGCTGTGAAACAAGATCGAACGCTTGTTTTTACTGAACCTGCGATACCAATGAAGTTTTGAAGTCGATGGAAAAGCTTCTTTCTTCCCTGTCCTGTTGCTTTCGATACAATGTTGTCTGTCGAGCCAAGCCTGTGCATAAAAATTGCTGTTTACAGGTAGCCCTTTGGCTTAAAATTCCTCTTAACTCCCTGAATTGTGTTTCTGATGTATATATAAGCATGTACATAGTGTAGCTTGAATTGCAAAAATCATTCTTGGCACCTGATACATAAACACTTCAATTCCTAACGGTTGCTTTGTGAATTTCATTTTGAACAGACTTAAGATAGTCTAATGGGAACGTGTTAAGCCAATCTTTTGCCATAACTCAGAGAAATGCATCATCTTATTAATTTAGTGCTCCCTTTACAGATAGAACTGCATTTTATAACACAACAAATTTATCACTATTAGTAGATAAGGTATACCGTCATATTTGCAGGTCATCGATAAACACTATGATTTCGGAAAACGATTACCTCTAGTGGTGGATTCCTGCCCTCGCAAGGAGTTTCTGTGGATTGAATGTGATTTGCCGGGTACAGGAGGCAAAGAAAAGGACAAATATGAACAACCATTAATGTTACCTCTGGTGAAACCTGTAATGTACCCTTTACGCCCAAATAACTTTGGAAAGAAGCCGGTGCATGTGTTAATTGTTGGGTTGGACTCGGTGTCAAGACTCAACGCCCATCGGCAATTTCCCAAAACCTTGAAATTTTTGCAGGTGAAAAATATATAAATTCCCACTTACTCAACAATGTCTATACTTCTTCTACAGAAATAGTATATACAGCGTAACAACAAATGTATCAGTATATAACCAAACGTCAAGCACCGGTTCCTAATTGCGATAGGTCCAATGTGTATTTGCAAATTTTCACTGGTTGGAAGATAAACCGAACTTAGCGAATGTTACAAATGTCAAATGATGGACTAGATTAATGACAAGAAGCCCAATTTTACAAGACAAGAATCCAAATTTAATCTCCTCAATCGATTCTTAAACCACTAAAGCATGCCCAACTCCTGTTTGTGACTATCTTAGATATGATACATTAGTTGTAAGGGACAGCTAAATATAATTCATACCCATTATGACTTCGATATAGACTATGAAAATAAGAATCCGTTCGCAATGTAACGAAATTATATAAATTATGGTAACAGGCAAAAAAGAACATTGTGGAGTTATATGGTTACAACAAAATTGGACTTAACTCGGCTCCTAACCAAATTCCTCTCCTAACTGGAATCCAGTACTATCCTGCTCCTGGTTTACGCAGTCGCATCGACAACACATATTTCGATAACGTCACAAGGTATTAGTGCTTTGTAAATTATTGACGTTTTTTTTTTATACAGCACACAATTGTATTGATTTACGATCTGAGTACTGGCGACAAATCATTAAAAGTCAAAAGATAAAAATGCAGTTGTCCGCTTTCTGTAGATTGAAATACCGGCAACCAACAACAAGGTAGACAGTGGTATGATCTATCCAAATATATATATATATATATATATGTATCCGATACATAGAAAAATTAAACTTTTATATAACGTTTATTTATTATTAGTTCTATAACTTGTATTATAACGTTAATGTTTTTTACACTAATGCTTACAAGGGGTATTAGTACGAGAGTCGAAAATCAGACGACACGATAGGTCCGTTAATCGAAAACAATTTACACAAGCTTGTGTGATCCACGATCTGACCTATTCGGAAGTCTCTATTCCCATAGAGATGCATGGATTCTAGGTACATGCTTGCCTTATAATAATTATAAATTTTAAGATAGCTCAGTTTGCAGTTTCGGGTTAAAAGTTAACGCACATAACCCAAAACCTATCTTAAACATCTTATTCTTCAGAAAAATGACACTTTTTTGACTACGGTGGAATTCCCTCCGAAGTAGTTATCTGTTTTACTGGTTACCTGTGTCTTGTGTCGTTCATTCTTAAGACCGTGTTGCACGGTTCCGAACAGTGATAACAGGACGTTGTACAACATTCGGGTTCTTCCCCGGGCTTAAAAGAAATTACAGGGTCAAAGATCCCATTAGAATTTCCAGCTAACTGCAACTGTATGAAGCTAAATACTGCAGAACCTTTTCGCTCTCTGAAGTTTCTATGTTCCGTTACTTTTCAGTGACTCACTTAAATGAATCGAGTAAATGAAACGATTTTAATCATTGATTACGTTTAAAAAGTTGTTGCACAGCAGTCCCTTCAGGGCCACCAATTCTATAAGTTGACCATGTTGAAACTTAGCAACCGGAATTCAACTATTATGTCGATCATTAAAGCTATGCTCACTTTATCTACAGTATTCATTGGTGTAGAAATTACTTCTGTTTTGCCGATATTGACACGATCATGCGTGATGCAGGTAGTGCTGATACATAGTTATTTGGTTTCCTAAAAGGAAGCACTCCTAAAAAACCAATTGAATATGGAGACGATGCTTTTTGAAACGGGGATTTTCGACAATACTAACTATCCTAAAGTTTTGAATTCGTTTTGTTCATATATTTGCACAATAAAATAAACTGTCTAAAAAATATTAATTATACATTGCTCTTGGTTTGCAGAACACGCTGAGAAACCTATGCCTCGGTTAAAAAAAAAAAAAGGAAAAAATTAGAAAAATTTTTTTAATGTCAAGATTCTTCGTAGAACAGCTCGCTTATATTGTACTATTACAAAGTTCAGATTGATAGGATTTCAGCCAAATACATAACAAGCTAAAGTGCAACATCACATTGTTAATATCAGTAGAAAAAATAGGAACATATATATATATTTTTGAAGTTGCATCTATTGTTGAATTGTCTCTTTAGGGTAGAGCGTGCGTATGACTGGTAATGTGGCATGAAACATGGGCTTTGATATGATGAATAATAAGATCTTGAAAATGATCCGTACGAAGTTTATCCGATACTCAGGTTAGCTAGCGGTTCAATATTATTTACTTACCGGAATCAGACTTCATCCAAAATTTTCCCTGCAAAAACGCATGGGGCCCCACGTTTTCTGCGTATCTCTTACAGCTGCATGATTTTGCCAATACGCGAACGTGGTGAAGAAATTTAATATACTATGAATAGCAATAATAATTTGTTCGTTGTGTGAGAGGCTATATTATAAAAGTGGAGGAGTCAGAATTCGTCTGTGTCAATACTGCCGACTCGTAAATTTGCCACTATTGCTCCGACAGCTAAAGATCTATGTGCCTCTCTGGCAACGCACCACCGGTTCGGGTCCGATTGTACCATTATAAGAATATTTAGCAGCCCTTTTTTAAATTTAATTGTTTTTGCCTAGACGATTTTATCCCTATTTGAAAGCAACGCGGTGTTTCGACGAGTTCTCGCTTTTGTTGTTTATCGCGCGGTCTCCCTTCGCCCTACATATGTACCCTGTGTACTAGCACTAGGACCTATGGAAGAACATTAGGTCGTAGTACAATTTGCCTAGTATATACACCGTACACGTACGTTTACTCAGCGTCTATGTAAGACGGTCCGCTTTACCTTATCCACCTTCACGCATTCTCGCCTGGGAAGTATTTGATGACAGCAAGCTCAAATGGGTTAAATTTTTTTCCCTTCAAAAAGTCAATAGTATATAGTTTGGCCAAAGCTAGAACAAGAAAGAGTTCACTATATGATAAATTGTCGCAATGATCCATTGCAGGTTTTTATGGAACGATTATGAAGAGCGAGGCTATCGAACAATGTTCTACGAAGAGCAATGGCATTATGGGCTTTTCGTCTACCCGTCTCTAAAAGGATTTAAACAGGTTTGAAAAAAGCTAGTTTAAGGCTCCTAGAGTCTGCATTTATACACTGAAACGCGCCGATACTTGTTTCGCTAAGCACTGTATGTACATAGCGTCATTCGCTTCCAATATATCAACACCTAAAAAATAACACCACCTTGTCGAATGTGCACAATTTTGATATAATTGTTATTGTTATTAGAAGTTGCGATGGTTGAATGCCACTCAGCGGATCGCGTCGAGGTTTCGTTACAAGCTCGAAATATTATGTATACATGGCACGGACTTGATTGCCAGCACATTTTTAGTTCCTTATTTCTATAATCCTTATGTATTATATGAACTTTACTTTTTAAAGAACCTCACAGGATATCATCTAGCGACATTATATCGTAGGGCAGTGTAGGAAAATTGTACGTTCACCGAACATCTTTATCAATAACTTCGCAGTCGCAGTGACAGACGTAAATACTCGAACCGAAGTTATCCAGCTTCCGACACGAGAAGTTTCCTAACATGTCCCAGTAACGAAAACTCTTTGCAGCTAAGTAACAAAATGGAATCCGACGCCCAACATTCGCACCACTCAGCCGCATAAGGCGCTCGTTCGTACCCAGCGTGAGGATTATCTTGTTTATTCAATAATCCACTGAGGTAGATACACGAGTCTGCAAAGGAAATAATGTCTAGCACAACGCTAGAATCCCGTACTTTGGCCCATGCGAAATTCCATAGAGCGATCTATGAGGGGCCAAATTAGAATCATTTGAACTTATATTTGGTGGCATCAAGAAATACACTATTTGCACCATAAAATCGTAGTTCACTCTATTCATCGATGATAGTTCTAGTTACCGGTCCTCTTGAACTTGCATTATTCAGGGCCAGACATTAAAATGATTCTACGATGCGGCGGTAAGGTTATTGATACAAATAAGCGCTAAATAAGGTTGGTGCCAATCCGATCACCCTGCTGCACGGCCCTATCATAATAATAATAATTATTATTACTATTATTATTACAATTATATCCGGGCTTACTATAACGCAATCGACCCTAATATAGGTAAACTTTAAAATAAGATAAATGTTGAGATCTCTAGGATAATATAACTAATGGGTTGTGGCTAACCGCATGGATTCTAGGTCCCTACAACTTACTGGTCAAGACCAATGATGCAGGCTGTCGACAAGTCGACTTTGAAGGCCAGCGGCTACAGTTGGTGTATTGGACCTGATTTTCCAGCGAAGCATTATCTCGACTATACCTATAATACGATGAAGATTCTCGGCGAGGATCGCCCGTTATTTTCGTACTCATGGCTCAGTGAAACTGCACATGATGATGTAAATTGAAGCCTTCTTTTATATCCTGACGCTAAATTCAAGTTTTCACTAGTGCCCTGTATATTCAAGCTGCAATTTTCGTATAGCCTATGTATTCAATACTTAAGCATACGCATTCAGTTATATATTTAGTTATCGAATAAAACGACTGTATCAGCTTTGACTTTTGTTGTCCGTTTTTAATTTCAGATTAATGGAGGTCATCGTATTGACAAATATTTTGAAGATTTTTTCGCCAAAATGGACCGGGACGGCATTCTAAATAGGACAGCTGTGTTCTTTATTTCGGACCATGGGTTTCGGTTTGGGTCGTTTCGAACGACTACCCAGGGACGCTATGAAGATACATTGCCCTATGGTTTTATATTGTTGCCTGAATCATATTACAATGAAAATCCAAAGGCACTGGCCAACATTAAGGTGAGTTGGTTTCTGACGCGTTTATAGTTTTTTTTTTTTTTTTTTTTCTTATAAAAGGTATAGTTAGTAACAGATAATTATTCCAAAAAAAAGTAGATTTTTGTCATCGTTAGAATGTTCAGACATATAAACGCTTGAGATTATTGATCGTCTAAAATCACTTTGGATCCGCTTGTCTATGCCACTTCCGGCGGCCCTTTCGAAACTGACATCGTATTCAGTTGATATTTACGCACAATATTCTGCAACTGCTGCTGCTGCTACTAAACAGCAGCATCAGTGTGCTTCACGGGTTTGCGCCCAGAATTTTTTTTATATATGCACGATAATTGAGACTTCTCAAAAACCGTATAGTTTTAAATAACCCGACTAGCTCAATTCTGGAAGTCAACAATCTATTACGATCTACTCAAATTCATTTTAATTGCATAGCAACTATAAGGTGAAACAAAAGGACAGAATCTTGTAGCAAAAAAAAAAAAAAAAAAAAACAGAATTTGCATTTCAACATAGCATTAATAATGATCCGATACGTAATGCTTATTGTAATGAGTATTAACTTTTGCCCCTGTGTGCCATTGTCGTCAAACCAACGTCCTGCATCCTAATGGGAATCGATGGGTTCGAACCAGGCAAATTCACGCCGACTAGTAACGGTTTATGATTTGCACGCAACGCTGCTTGAACTAGCCGATATGTGGAGCGAAGGCCGAGTCACACGAACCGCTAATGGATACAGCCTTATCAGCAACGTAATACCTGACGATCGAACCTGTGAACACGCCAATATCGGTTTTCAGTATTGTTCATGCTTTGAGTCTCAGCCTTACGATCGTAAGGGACGGCTCGCAACTTCGTTTGCTCAGTTTGTTCTCGACTCAATCAACCACATCGTAGAAAAGAATAACGCCACATTGAAATGCCATGAATGGACGCTTCGAGACATTGACGACCTCACGAGGTTGTCTGAAGGTGAACTTTGGACCGACATATTCAAGATCTCGCTTAGCACGAAGCCCAGCGCGCAATTTGAGGTGGCGGGGAAGTTTATCCAAAATGCGAATAAAATAGGAGGCGTCGAGTGGAAACTTGTAGCCGACATTGATCGTATAGACTGGTTTAGCTCGCATGCAAAATGTGTTAAAGGTTCCAGCTATGAACGATATTGTTACTGTAGAGAATAGCGTTGAAGCATTACCACTATGGACTGATTGACAGCTACCACGACGTGGGTATTGCCAATGTGCCTTGAACTTGTTCCAACCCGTTATAAAATAGTGAAAATGTATGTAGCAACTTTGTGACAAATTCAACCGTGTTTTTGTGCGGTCATCTTTTCAATAATTGTTCTTATTGCATGAATATACAAGTAACGTAGTTGAGTTAGATATTCTATTCATTTCAAATTCAAAACGTATGGAAAAACACCAAAGCGAACTGGGTACATCGGTGTGAACAGTTATATAGGTACTGCCAGCCATTTGTAGCTCGCATCGACGTCGTGTTGATAGTGATTTCGTTCTTTTTGATAATGAACACAGGCTACAGCTCACTTGTTCAAATTCTCATTTAAAAGACATGCGTAATTTCTTAATCATTATTATTATTGCTATTGAATTTGGAATGGCTAGTAGTAAGTTGAGCTTAAATTTCCGAATAGTCGAAAATTTTTTAAAGTAAAGCGCGCTAACCGTAGATAAATATGACGGCAGTGCTGAGGTGTTTTTTGTGCAGCTATGATGCGACAAAAATGATCAATTCTGGGACCTGTAGCCTAAATATATATGTTGTCTACGTTGGACGGCCGCTCTTCGCTGAATACCTGCGAAAATGAGTAGCTTTTTTTTTCTAGTAATACTATTTTCCTTTAATTTATTGGCACATTTATGTATTGATGGCTTTATCTTTTGAGCTATTGCTAATTAAAAAAAAAAAACTGTTTATGATTATATTTCGCGTTTATACAAATAGGTAAGTCACATGAAAAAAAAGCTCTGATATGAGACGACTGTAATTAAGTTAGTTACGATTTCCATGTACCTGTCTTGCATTTCTGTTATAGATTCCCGCTCGTTTACCAAATCTATTTGATTTTTCAATGTCGTCTTGCTGACGGCATGATAAGACCTGACATCATGGTCCGCGGGTCGGCCAATAACGTCCGTAAAGATAATTAAAGAAATTGTATCATCTTCATTGTTCTTAAAGGAAGCACTATAACTTTTAGGGGAATACTCAATACATGACTTTAAAGTACTTTAGCATCATCTGTTACTAAGTGACAAACAAGGGTGTATCACCTAAAAGCCTACTGTTTTTACATCGGTAGACGAAATGTACAAGGCGACAAATGCGCTCTAAGATAGAAGGGCATGCTTTATAACGTGATTTCGTTTGAATGCAATTCAGGAAGTAATAGGACAGCGAACCCTGTATATAACTAAGTACACCTAGTCAGACTAATAGTAGCCTTTCCGGCAGCAGCTCCTAAGCCTAGCAGTGACTGTTATATATATATACATGCTTAAATTTTTGGACGGTCAATAAATATTACGACTACCAAGTGCATGAGTGCTTCTTTTTCCATCACGGGTTGTTAATAGTCCCCTCATAATATCTTTGCTGTTGAAACTTACATTATAGATTTTGTAGGCAATATCTAAAGTAAAGAACGAGAGATCGATAAATGAACTTAGCTAGCGTAACTGGTGAGAGTATCAAATCGAAAACGATTAGCGAGTATCTAGAGCAAACCTATCGAAAAAAACCCACCTGGTATCAAGCATACCAATACCCAACCAATTGGTCCAAATAACAAATCGAAAGGCAAGCAAAGTCTTTCTTGGCCAGCGACTTTTAGAGGTCATCTCTTCATGCACACATATGTAAATCAATCGAACTAATCACACGTGAAACCGGCAGTAATTATTTACAAGTGTGATAAAAACACCGCAATACACAAAAAAATCATCACAAACGAAGTTTTACGTAAATTGAACAATTGACAGTCGCGTTGAATATAACCACATAATTATTTAATAATATACCATATCGAATTATACCATAACCTTCTCACCGTTTAATCTAAAAGCGAAAATTAGTTATTCAACCCGTACTTTTACCTAAATAGACAAACAGGGGAACTACTACGAGTCTAACTACTGGATCTAGTTTGTATGCGTGACCAGAGTCTGTGCGCCAAATAAAACCAGAGGGGCAGAACCTATCTCTAGCGTGACGAAAAACTACTGTCGGCATTTTTGTATTTGTGAACGAGACCATTATTCACCGACCTACCCTAAAATGTGTTACATTTGTATCTAATTTTTTTCTGTATATAATAATAAATCTCTTTTGATTGATTAATTATTTTTTCCCTTCATAAAAAATCGTTCTTTAGAGAACTGCGAAAAACCGGATGAAATATCTGCTAATCGCTATAAATTATTAACCTTTTCAGGGGATCGATGATCTAAGCCATTCTGCTCAGTGGAAACTTTAACTTAGTGGCTCCTCAGATAATGATAAAATCTAAGCAAAAAAGTTCTGAAGAGTTAATATATGACTTGAGACGCATTGTTTTGCTCAGCCAGCGATTATGGGAACCTGGAGATTCTTTTGGGGTACGTAGCCACAACTATTCCGCTCTGCAATTTTGATGCAGCTCAAACAGATGATTGAAATTTAATCACCGAGAAAGTACTCGGATTTGCACCCCAAAAAATGTTTGACTATTTTTAGGTATATAAAGGCGACTGGAAATATCATTTTGAAAGCGATTTTCAATGTGGAATATGGTCACAATTGGTAAAACAGTTACTGAAAAAAAAATTATTTTATTTAAAATCATATTTGCCTTTTTCGCGTCGATATTTTACAGTCAAATTAAAAGTGAAGATGACCTGCCTCATCAACATGGCCTAGGCAACTTTGGGATAATTCTCAAAAATGTGTAGTTTGAACAGAATACTTGCTACCTAAGGCGTATTTTTTTTAATTTTATTATTAATTAGATGTATTTCTGCATGCTTTAAACACATTTTATTTTAACTAGCTGCTATCAAGAGAATCAAAAATCAGAACCACATAATTACTATGCTCAACACCTACATGTTATACAATTCGTTGCGATTTGAAGCAAACTATATTGCAGAAACTTTCTAACTCGTGACACCTTGACTTCGATTTCTTTAAACAAAACTGCACGAATTAGCATTGATAAAGGAAATTTTAGCGCTATTTTCTTTTCGTTTCAATTATTGTCGAAGCTGCGTTCATCTTCTTAATTGTCTACACTTTCACGTTTCGGTGTTGAAATGCCTGAATTTAGACAGTATATATATATATATATATATATATCGCGCATGCATAAATATACAACAACTCGCTAGTTTTGTTCGCCGCTCATTTACGGCTAATCCAGCTGATCCCATCGAGGTGGCCAGGGTAGTTTATAGATTACCTATATATTTCCAGGAACTCAACTAGAGCGTGTCGAATAGCGCTTTTTACATATTCACCCCTTTCCGTCTTGTTCATCTAGAATAGGTAGCTTTTCTCACATGCAGACCGGCACTCAGGCTGTAAACACTGTCGTAGCTTTCCATCCCCACAAAACCTAGAAATAGATCTGTACTACAGGTTCCTGACTGTGCCATTTTAGAAGTTGATGGTTACTAAATGACCCCTGTTTGCTAACCAGGTAAAGACACTGCATTCGCGAGCGAAAGATCTGAGGGAACTTTAACCATGCGCAGTGCTGTTCGTGACGAAGACCTAATAACCTTATGAAAGTTACCTCAAGTGTGCGAAATTGAAGTTCAAAAGGAAGTAAAAAGCCAAATCTAAAACGCTCGGAAGGCGTAAGACCAGGTGCACTAACGAAACCAGGGAGGCTTTGAGCTTACTCGAAAAAGAGATCAACCGATACGGCTTTCATCGAAGTGAATTACTACTGCATATCTGTGTATGCTTATTAATTAAAATTTCAAGCGAATGGCAGTGGTTAACATCGTAGAAACTATTCCCAAGCTTCCCGACCAAAAAGCACACAGGCCGGTTTCTTTACAATAAACACCTCAAAGAGACGGTGGTCTTGATGTGGAAAGAATTCTAACGGTTTGAAGAGAATGGCTCTGATTCCAAACAGAAAGAAAGGCCGAAGTGGCCTCCAATCATGAAAAGATTCGTGAAAAAAAAAAGCTGCATTTATGACGTTTCGTCATGCAGTACCGTAGGGCGCTCAGAAACTGGTTTGGAGCGTCGCAATGCACTACCTTTCGGATTAGGTTCTGTAGAATCAACGACAATGGTTCAGAAAATCGTTGCGGATGATATAAAAGGAATGCGATATTATTCGGACCAGCTGCTCTATTCTGTGCTTGTTGACTGCAAAACTGTGTTTCATTATATATCCAAAATAATAATAAACCGTATAGAGCAATAGACAATGACTCACGCAAGGGTACAGCTTTAACCGGTAGCTCGTATTGTTTCTTATCAAAAGTCTACTTACGAGAATAAAGCGAAAATACAACTTTATGATGATTACGTTATACACCGACGATCTAATGAATATGCATAGAAGTCATATATTTCGACTGCAATAGGTGTTACCAACTCTGCACAACGATCACGAGCAAATATTAGCCTGGAAGTTAACGAAGTTTTAGTTATATAAAGCTGTGTAGTTCAGTAGAGAAAGCAAATTATAGGCTGGCGACTGGTTGCGTCTAGAAATAGAAAACGTTGGCATAGCTTGCGTTATTTCTGGAAAGCCTCTCACGTTCTGGAAAGCGTCAGAAGAAAGATTATGACTGTGGTAATCACTAACGAAAAACCAACAAAGCCACCACGACAAGGCACTGTCGAAAGATTTAATCTTAGAAGTGCAGTAGCTGCCATTTACAGAACTGAGAAAAAGGAAAAATATCTGGAATATGAAAGACTAAAAATAACAATTATTTATTGCATACCCAAAAACAGCCACTTCATGTTTGCATCAAAATGCCAGATCACTTGGCGCATTTGTTGGCGGATACCTAGACACCCGTTAAAGGTACCCACGTCCTTTTGGCCAAATGAATGATGAAGGGGTTAAATCCGTCAGTCTTCGAAACAATGGTTGATGATGGCCAGAAGCGTACTAACTAAGAAAATTACTGCGTTAATGCACTAAGTTCGCAGTTCACAGGTTTCATGAAATCTGCTAAGTGCTGAGTAAGAGTTTTCAAATTTCGTAAAATTGTAGATGTCCTTACATGCGGCTTAGCCAAAACGGATCAGTAAATTCGCTCCGTAAATCAAATATTTAACATTTCAAAGGAAAGTAAAATTTTTAAAGAATTATGCCATTCTTCACTACAATTTCATGAACTGTAAGAGGCTAGTATGATGATTTATATTAAATGAAATTTAGGGTTTTCTTTTTATAATTGACGTTTAACGAAACATATATTGAATTAGCTACCATGTACGCATATTGATATCTTCAACAGAGCATGTTTTCACATACAGTTTGCTAATTACCTCATTGAAAACCAATTTCTTACACTCTGAACAGAAATTATACGGTTAGGTTAAACTCGGACATGTAATTTCAGCTTCTCATATTGTCGCCTGGACGTCCTATATTAAATATCATTACACCTCTTGACAAGATAGCGTGAATTACTGCAATAGACTCTTATTATATATAATATTATTATATATAAGGGTAGTTCCTGTTGAGTTGCGGGACATGCAAGAGATCACTTTACAACAAGTGTTATACTGGGTACAGCCTCTGTGATCCAATGGGTGTGTTCCAATATGATATGAAATCCAATAGAAATAATATGATTCTATCAACTGGTAGTGAAATCCAGTTGAAACAACACAGACCCCTGCGTAGGTTACTGTGACAATCTGGACAAACGTATCTGAACCGGCGAAAATAAAAAGATAATGAAACGATTCGTCTGAA